ATGACTGTTCAAGTCAGTTAGCCTCTAGTTTCCTCATCTGTAAAATGGGGATAATAATAGCACCTACCTCCCAAGATTGTTGTGAAGATCAAATAATATAATGTATATAAAGCACTTAGCAGAGCGCCTGACACATTGTAGGTGCTATATAAATGTTATTATTATTATTATTATTATTATTATTATGAATTTATGAACCTGGGTTACTAGAAGGATGATGATGCCATGATAGAAACAGGGAAATTAGGAAAAGGTTAGTTCCCATTCTAGGTCTTTGCTGATCCCCTGAGCTATAGTACCTTCTCCCTCTTGAGATTATTTTGCTTACTTTGTACATTGCCTGTATTTATTAATTTGATTTTGTGTTTTGTTCTTTCCATAAAATTAAAACTCTTTGAGGGAAAGATCTGTTTCATTATTGTACTTGAATACCAATCACCTACCATAGCTCCTTGCACATGATAAGCGCTTAGTAAATGTTTGTTTTATTGAGTTGAAGCTAGTTCATGGATACAATGATACTAAAAACAGCTAGAATTTTGAGACATTGAATTCCTTTATGGGTCTTGGTTTACCCTTTTTGTGAAATAGAGTGAATATTTGCCATTTTTCTGCCTCAAAGAGGTCTATGAAGACCTCAGGAGCAAACTCCAGGGATAGAGTTAAAAGTCACTTCTAAGTTGGAAATAAACACCCATGGAATTTCAGGACGATTCAATACTGCTACTTAATCCCCCTAAAAAAATAGAAGTCCCTTTCTCCATCAACACCTAGAAGCATCCTCTCTCAATCGTTAAAAACTTATCTTTTAATCATTAAAGACTTATTGTTTCCCAGGACTATAAGGAACTTATGGGAATATTAGTGCAAAGCTAAACTAAGGCTATCCATTATCATTAAAAATATTAGCCAAACAGAAACAAAATGAAACAAAAACCCACTCCCTAGCCCTCCTTTCTGAAGGGGATTATTTCCAAATGGTCCCATCTTTCATTGTTCATGGACACAAGATCTAACATTTGACAGATATTACCACCTACTGGGCAGCTCCTAACAGTGCACTTCAGGCCTTATGATCAAGAGAAATTCTTTTTCTCTCTCTTGCTTCTCTTTTCCCTCCAAAGAACCATTTCTTCTGTACCACTGGCATTTCCCCCTATATTATTTCTGAATCTGAGTCTGTTCTTTTGGACGATAATGAGAGACATAGAACTTTTTCCTCATGCAGGAAAATTAAGTTACAACAGGCAGCTGCCTCCCTCAGTTGGATGACGTTCCTCAACACCAGAGAGAGGGCTTGGGTTCCAGTGAATGTGACCTCTCCATGTGGGAGTGAAGGCATTCTGAAAAGTTGAAATAACTTGACTAAATTAACTAGGAAGTTAGGCCTCAGTTGCAGGAGATACAAAGCTTAAAAGAGGTACAGTCCTGCCCTCATGTATCTTATACTCTAATATAATCCTATGACATAGGCCACATATACACACATATGCTAATTGTCTGCTTTTGTCATGGAACCTCCGCTTGTAACTTAGAGCATGCCTGAGTCTCAGAAGTCTGTGTGACTTGCACATGGCCACACAGCTAATAAATAACAATGGTAGGATTTGAACCGGCTTTTTCTAACTATAGGTCCAGTATTTGATACAATATGCCATGTTGCTTCTAAAGTAACTTCAATATACAAAATTACTTAATAGTATATTAGAGATTGAGAAAATAAAGTGCTCTGTGAGAGCTGAGTGGGAGCCCAAAGCAGTATCTTTACAGAGATTATATAGTATTTACTATGGATGTAAAGGTCTGATTCAACTGGTAGGGTTTGGGGGGGAGGGGGCAGAAAGCTTGGGGAACTGTTTTTCCCCCAGAAGGTGTCTGCATTTCTGTATTTAGCTTACATGAAATCAGCCCTGATGTGCATGCCTAGATTACTGTCCTGCCAAGTTTTCTGACTTAGCCTCCCTAACTTGTATTTCTTCCAAATCTAGTATTATCCTAAAGTACCATTTCGGTTGTGCTTCTCCCTTATTTTAAATAATAAGAATTCACTGGGTCTCTGTAGCTTAGTGAATAAAGTCTAAACTCCTTATCTTAGAATTCAAAGCCATACAAACTCTTGCCTTGATCTACCTTTGTATTTTCCAATATTCCTTTTATATAAACCATATGTGCATCCCCATTGAACTGTTCATTGTGACCCAAACATGCATTTTACTTTTTCATTTCCATAACTTTGTCCATACTACTGCCTCAACCAATAATTTCTTCCACTCTTCCATAAAATTTTCATCCATCAAGATCCAGCTGAAATGATACCTCCTTCATCAAAACTTTTCCCAGTCACCCCCAAGCATGTAAGTGACCTCTCCTTCCCACTTAGCTTATACAAGCTTTCATAAATAGCACTTAGTGTTACCATTTCAGGCGCACACAAGGATCTCAGATTTTGAGGCAGAAGGAATCTGCCCCAAGATCATCTACTCAGTCTGTCAGTACGCATTTATTAAGCACCTATCATATGCTAGACAGGGACAACACAGTGGATAGAGCACCAAGCCTGGAGTCAGGAAGACCTGAGTTCAAATCTAGCCTCAGACACTTAGTAGCTGTGTGACACTGGACAAGTCACTTCACTCTATTTGCCTCAGTTTCTTCATCTGTAAATGAGCAGAAGAAGGAAACGGCAAACCACTCCAGTATCTTTGCCAAGAAAACCCCAAATGGGGTAACAGAATCAGACATGACTCAACAGCAACATGTGCTATTCACCATACTAAGAACCAGGAATACAAAGAAATAGAAAAGACAGTCCCTGCCCTTGAGGAACTCACACATGGGGGGAGTCAACATGCAAATAACTATGCATGACTAAGCTAAATGCAGAATGAATTGGAAGTAATCATCAGAGGGAAGACATTAGTATTAATAGGGATTGGGAAAGGCTTTCTGTGGAAGATAGGTTTTTAGCTGGGACTTGAAGGAGGTAAAGAATGAGGAGGGAGAGTATTCCACTCATAGAGGACAGCAAGTAAAAATGCTAGGAGTAGGAAAATGAAGTGTCTTGTTTGAGAAACAGGCAAGAGGCCAGTGCTACTGTATTGAAGAGTATATCTTAGATCTATAAGGTGTAAGAAAAATATAAAGCTGTGAGGGGAGCAGGTTTTGAAAGGCTTTGAATGCCAAAAAGAGGATTTTAAATTTGTTCCAAGAGTTCTAGGAAGCTGCCGAGTTTATTGAGTTAGCAGGTGACATGGTCAGATTTGAGTTGTAGGAAAATTAATTTGACAGCTGAGTGGAAGATAGACTGAAGGGAAAAGTGACTTGTGAAATACAGACAGACCCAAAGGCTATTATGATAGCCTAGGAGAAGGCTATTGGTGATAACAGTGCAGGCGATGACAACCTGTACAAATGTGATGGCAGTATTAGAGGAGAGAATGTAAAACCTAGAGGTCTTGTTAATAGATTGAATATGAGGGATGAAGGAAAGTGAAGAGTTGAGGATAACACCTAAGTTGTGAGCCAGGAAACCTGGGAGGATGTTGGTGTCCTAGACAGTTATAAAGAAGTTTGGATGGGGGGATAGTGTTGGAGAAAAAAATGAATTCAGTTTTGGATATACTATGTTTAAGATGTTGACAGGACATTCATGTGTAGATGTCTAATTAGAGGTTAGAGGTGCAAGACTGAAGGTAACAGAGAGTTTTGGGCTAGATAAATAGATTTGCCAATCATCGGTATAGAGATGATAATTGAATTCATGGGAGTTGATTAGATCACCAACTGAAATGACATACAGCAAGAAAAGATGAAGGCCCAGGACAGATCCCTGTGGGACACCCACAATTAGTGGATGAAAGCTGGATGAAGATCCAGCAAAGGAGCCTGAGGAGTGTTCAGATAAGTAGGAAGTGAACCAGAAGATAGTAGTATCCCCAAAACCTAGAGAAAAAAATATTGAGGAAAAGAGGGTGTTTGACAGAGTCATAGACTACATACATAGAGTGCAAGGAGGATGAGAGTTAAGAAAAGGCCATTAGATCTTGCAGTTAAGAGATGACTGGTAACTTTGGAGTAGTTTCAGTTAAATGATGAGATTGGAAGCCAGACTGTAGAGAATTGAGAAAAATTGAGGAAAGTAGAGGTATCTATTGTATGTACATGGCCTTCCCAAAGAGTTTAGCTGCAAAAGTAAGGAGAGATATAGGCTTAGAGAAGGCATGGATGGATCAAATAAGGGTTACTTCAGGATGGAGGAGATGTGAGCATGTTTGTTAACAGTAGGGAAGCAGTCAGTAGACAGCCAAAAACTGAAGACAGATGAGAGTAGGAATGATAAAGGAGACAATGTCTTAGAGAATATGGGATAGAATGGGATCACTTGTGCAGGTAAAGGGATTAACCTTGGCAAGGAAAAGGGCCACCACTTCAAGGGAGACAGGGATGAAGGAAAAGGCGGTGGCAGAAAGCATCTGAATGATGGAAAATAAGGAGGAGGGGAGAAGAGGGAGCTCTTGGCAAATGGCCTCAGTTTTTTTTTTCAGTAAAATATGAGGAAAAATTCTCAGCTGAGAGGGTAAAGGGAGGGGAAAGCATGGGAGGTTTGAGGAGGGATGAAAAAGGCTTGAAAGAGTCACTGTGGTGAATGAGTGGGATAGTGAGTTAATTAGGGAGGTGGAAAAGAATTGCCTAGGAGCGATGAGGCTCTTTATGTTGATATCTAATTTCAACTAATAGATTCTATGCTTTGTTATTACAGAATATCAGAACTGGAAGAGGCCTCAAGTACTAATGAGTTCAATTTTTCCTTAAGGATCCTTTCAGGAACAATTGGTCATTTAGCCTCTGTGAGAAGGGAAATACACTTATGATTCTCAATGAGAAGTACTTTTGTTGCTGTGCTAGACACATTTCTTTCTGTATTCAGATTATCTGTTAAAAATTTTTCATCTTTTTCTTTTGGTTTGTTAAATAAGCTTCTCTTTGGCATTCTATTGCAGGATTCCACTTGCTTTGAAAAGGAAAACTAAATTTATGCGTAGCTGAAATTGGAAGGTGAGATCACTATGCACCACACCAAAAGATGTTTGCTTCTGGAGTCAGCACTGAGTAGTTATGTAAGGTCCTTTGTTTTTGATGTCTGCTTAATAAATCTATTAAGTGGTTTAAAAAAGGGCAGTTAGGTGCTGCAGCGGCTAGATCACTGGCCCTGGAATCAAGAGGATCTGAGTTCAAATTTAGCCTCAGACACTTGACACTTATTAGCTGTGTGATGCTGGGCAAGTCACTTAACCTTGATTAACACACACACACACAATTGGATGGACCTTGCAGGTCATCCATTCTACTTTTGAACATTATAATGCTTAGGAAATTTTATGGAGCCAAATGTGACTGTGGGTAACTTCTGTTTATTGTTCCTAATCATGTCTTCTGATGACAAACAAATTTATCTTTTAGCACGCAGAGAAATCAAATACACAGCTCAGGGTATGCATGCAGCCCACAACACTCCCAAGTGCCACTCAAACCAAATTAAAATGTAATAGGGAGGGGCAGCTAGATGGTACAGAGGCGCTGGCTCTGGAGTTGTATTTCCTTTTAGGCCACATCTCTCCCTCTTGTTGACAAGAATAGTATGAATGATTTTGTCTAATTTTTGGCTAAAATTTAGGTCTTTTGTGTTTGCAACAATTCCTAGATCTACCAGTTGAGTGAAACTGTCAAAAACAAAATTAATCTGGAATGATCTGTTCTTGATGAAGTCATGTTTGCACTTCTCTTTCCAAATCCTCACAGACCATATTTTTACTAACAATTTTGCCAGAAGTTGAAGTCGAGTTCATGAGCTTACAGTTGATAGACTCCCTCTTCATTTTGTGAAATTCATGACATTTGCCCTTTTCTGATCCTCTGGCATGTGTCCCATTTTTAAAAATTATTGACAGCGGGATCAACTGTAATGATACATCTTCCCCAGTCCTGGTGTTCACAGGCCAGTGAATCTTTTGATCTTCCACAATAGATAAATATTTATTGAATGGATGAAAAGGTGAACAAGTTCTGATGAAGGGGGAAACGGTTGTTTTGTATAGGTTAATAAAGGCAACAAGATCTGTTAAAGGTCCTTATGAACTTTAAAATGTGAATTTCACCTACTTCTTGTCATGAATCAATACCAATAAGGGAAAACAGTTATGAACTTGTCATCATTAGTTTTTGTTTCCTTTCACTGTAAGAATTGTAAATCAATCTGTGAGGCTATTCATTCAAACTTCAATATCAAACATGATAGTTTTGGGAGACACGTGGACTAAACATGTTTTCAGTTTCCTTATATTTCTTTGGTATCACGAAGTACCTACCATAGTGAAACTAAATTTTTGACACCTTTCAAGTGACTTTGAACACAGTTAAAACATGCTATTTGTTGTTCCTATTCATTATTTTCCTAGTAGAAAAGTTCTTCTCTCTTCTCCCTACTCTCCCTCCTCCCATTTTCCTTCTCCCCAGTACTTTGGCTTTTAAAAATGTTCAAGAGAAAGCTTCAATAAGTGTTTAAAGAGAAGCAGTCCAAAAATATAATGGTAGAGCAGGCATTTTAACTGCATGAATATTTTCCCAAAGTCCAATAAGAAATGACAATGTGTCATAAGTATCGTCAGTAGCATTGCCTGAATTTGCACATTTTATATCTTATTCATGAGCTGGATAAAAGTTCTAAGTCTGCCCAACGTTTTCCAGTATGACATGCCATTCTTTTGATGCTAGGTTAAAAAAGAAAAACCTATTAGTTTCAGCAAAAACTAATCTAAATTAAAATAAACAAAAGAACATAAGGATTTATCACATACTTAGTTTTTCAATCACAATGGAAATGATATAAACATATATATACATATGTAACATGTTTGTGTATGTATAGAAGAAGGATGAATTTTTAGGAGAAATATAATGAATTTTGTTTCAAACGTATAGAATTTGAGATGCCTATGGAACATCCAATTTGAAAGGTACAATAAGCAGTTGGTAAAGTGGTACCAGGGCTGAAGAGATAAGACTGGTTATGTCAATTTTTAAGTCATTTGTAGAAAAATTTTAACTAAATCAATGGGAAATGATGTGATTACTAAGGGAAAATGTGAAAGGAAATGAGAGAATAGAATCAAACTCTGGACTGAGGCTTGGGAAACAGTAAGTTAGGGGGAAAGGATATGGAAAATGAGTCAACAAAGGAGATTTGGGAAGAGATCAAGGAGAAAACATATCATGAAGACCTAGAGAAGAGAGAGTATACAGCAAGAGAAGTTTATTGGCCGTGTAAAATTCTTCAGGTAGGTAGGGTAGAAAAGGACCAGGAAAAGACCATCAGATTCAACAATTGAAATGGTAACTTTAGAAAGAACATGGTCAGTTGAGTGAAAAGGTAATTGAACTAAGAGCTGTTGTGTCTACTAGCTAAATTAAACCAAGGAAGCATGCTGGTGAGTTCTACTGAACCATGGTTTAGAAATACAGTCCCACAGTACCTTACAGGGTACACTATTAATAATGAGGATAGCTATCCCTCCTGGGACACAACCTGCAAATCTAGGAATACCACATTGGAGAAGTAGCCCAAAGGGGATCAAATGTTACACATGACTTTCTTCAACTCTATTCATCAGAAGTTGAGTAAAAGCAGAAGGTTGGAGTAATCTAACACTAAGGATGAATGGTAATAGGTACAAAAAGCAAGTAATTTGAAAGTAGATCATAATGTAGAGTTGACTCAATTAGCTATGGAGGTGAGATTGAGAAGGAAAGAAAATGAAGTCAGAGTATGACTAATGGTCTAAAAATGTATTGAGGAGTGAAAGAATGGGAGACCTCAATGAGGTCAAAGAATAAGTATAGGAGGAGTGAGGCATAAAGAAAGATGAAATGATTTGTTATAGTTAGAGCAATGTTGGAGTTTTTAATCAAGGAAGTAGAACATTTATAGTGAGAGCCAATGCATGATCATCCTTGAGTGTAGCTAAGGTGGGATGATAACCACCCTCCAGTCTTTTTAAATACTTTAAATACCATCTCCCTATACTAGAAACATGCACAATTACTCAGTGCTTCACTTGGCCCCTCTAGCTTCTAGTTTATTTTAATTACCAGGTTACCAGGACATAAAGGATCGTAGCTAATTCTTTCCATCCACCATACTTTTTCTGGCCCTTTTTTCAATGGCCTTCCTTTTGAGGCATTCTTCTACAGTTAAGATTGAGGTGGGGAGGGGAAAAGGGAAGAGAAAATATAGGAAAATAGTAATTTCCCAAAGCCCCTTAAAATACATACTTTTTTTCCCCAAAAATTCTGCCCCATTTTTCCACACTCATTTTCTTTCCCACCTTTGAGAACGATGAGCAGCCACAGTTATATAGAGTAAAATTTTAGGCAGTAGTCATTTATTACATGCCTACTATGTGCAGGGCACCATTTAAGTACCGGAGATACAAAAAAAGGCAAAAGGCAGTCCCTGCCTTTAAGGAGTTCACAGTCTAATAGGAAAGACAATATGCAAAAACTATGTTCAAATAAACTACATGTAGAAAAAAATGAGAAGAAATTAACAGAGAGAAGTCACTAGAATTTAGAGGGATTGCAAAGGCTTTCTGTAGAAAGTAGGATTTTAAGAGACTTAAAGGAAGCAAGGGAAGACAAGAAGTAGAGATGAGGAGGGAAAACATTCCAGGCATAGGGGATAGACAGTGAGAATGCCTGGAATAGGGAAATAAAATGTTCTGTTTGAAGAACAGCAAGGAAGTCAGTGTCACTAGATCAAAGAATATGTGAAGGCGGGGAGGGGAACTCAGGTATGAGAAGAGTGGAAAGGTTGGAGGTGGGGAGAAGGGGAAGGTTATGAAGCACCAAACAGAGGATTTTATATTTGATTTTTTAAATGATAGGACTACCGTTTAAATAAACTTGAGTTAAAAAAATGTCAATAAAGTGGAGTTTATTGAGTAGGGAGGTGACATGGTCTGACCTGTACTTTAGGAAAATTACTTTGGCAGCTGAATGGAGGGTGGACTTAAATGCAGAGAGACTTGTGGTGGGCGGAATGATCAGTAGGCTGTTGAAATAGTCCAGGGTTGAGAACATGAGAGCTTGGACCAGGGTGGTAGCACTATCAGAGATAAAAGAGGAGTGTAGTTGAGAGATATTATAAAGGTAAAATTGATAGGTTTTGACAACAGATTGCATGTGGGTGGTGAGAGATAGTGAGGGATTCAGAATGATATCTAGGTTGTAAGTCTGGGTTATTGGGAGGAAGGTGGTACCTTTGGTGGTGGTAGAGATGTGGGAAGGGTTTGAAGGAAAAGATAATGAGTTCAGTTTTAGACATGTGGCATTTAAAATGTCTGCAGGATATCTAGTTTGAGATATTGAATAGGCAGTTGGAAATGCGAGACTGAAGGTCAGCAGAGAGGTTGGGGCAGGATAAGTAGGTTTGGGAATCGTAAGTATAGAGATGGGAATTTAATCCATAGGAATTGATGAATTCACCAAGGCAAATGATATGGAGATAGAAGAAAAACGGCCTAGGTCAAAGCCCTGTGGGATACTCATGGTTAGGTGAAGTGAAGATCCCTCAAAGGAGAAAAAGAAGTGGTTAGATTGATAGGAGATACAGCAAAGAGGGGTATCCGAAAGACTTAGAGCGAAAAGAGTATCAAGGATCAACAATATCAAAGGATGTGGGGAGGTCAAGGAGGAGAAGTGAGAAAGGCCAGTGCATTTGGCAATTAAGAGATGATTGGGAACTTTAGAGAGCAATTTCAGTTGAAGGACAAAGAAAACAGATTGTAGAGAGTTATGAAGAAAGTGAGTTGAGAGAAAGTAAAGGGAGCTACTGTAGATTGCCTTCTCAAGGAGTTTAGCCACAAGATGCAGGAGAGATATGAGGCAACAGTTAACAGGGATGAAAAAATCAAGTCATGTTTTTTGTTTATTTTTGGATGGAGGAAGACATGGGGGACAGGAAGCCATGGATGGATTGAAGAGGGATGAAGAGATTTAGA